CCTGGAAATGCTGCTCAAGAACTATGAGTCTGTCAGCAAAATAAAATGAGAGGTCACACCGACACAGATGGAATCATGAATTCGACGAAACCCAAACTGGCCTTGGATGAGAACCCGGTTACGACGTGGTGACCCTTGCGAGGGCTTTCCACCGCTGACCCATCTGGCGGGACTCGCCGGTGTGGAGTTGGGAGTGAAATTAAGATGGAAGACAAAACGGGCGGGAGGATGACGATCCCGCGGCTGACTGGACCAAAGAACGACGACTACATGGCAGTTGCCCGCTGAAGATACTGGAACTGAAGAACACATACATTCATGCACCGAATCATGTTCATGTTCATTTAAGAGTTGCAGCAATGGAAAAGCGTTGGTGTTACGGATTTGTTAAAAAGGTTACAAATGAAACTATTTCTTTCTTCTCATTATAGTTACTAGTACTGTCTTTGTTAAATGGGATACAACTGTTATTTGATAGTGGTTGTAGTTCTATTTATTGTTTTACGTATTTATGAACTTGCTTTAAGTTTTTTTTTAAGCTAAAATTTTGTCAGATTTTATACAACCTATTCTGTCTTTGACAACATTGCAGAGATGTTAGGCAGAGTATATTTGAAATACTATGTCTTTGAAATGTAGCAGAAAAAACTGACTAAATTATCTCCACTTTTAACAGATGTACCTTTGTATGCCTAATTATGAGGATACTGTAATTGATGGCATTAATTTTGTTTTGCACTGATACTTGGATCTTAAAAATAAATCATCCCCAATACTATGCTGAGACTAAGGTATTTTTTTATATATAACAAAGTGATGACAATGTGAAAATTAGCCAAGAGACAAAGGAAGCTCATATCTGTTAAAGCATGAGCGATTTCTCTTTTTATTTCCGGGAGAAAACAAAAACAAAATGTTTTCAGATATCATACCTGGATTTGCTTTTAGATTAGATTCTTAAATTTAGAACTCGCACAGAAATGTGTCTGTCTCATTCAAATTCAAAAATACTTTACTGATCCCAAAGGGAAAAAACTGCTGTAACTCATTTATTCTGATTTCTTCAGAGCTGCAGATGGTGTTGGCCGTGGGTAGAAAATATCTTGTGTAGCAGTCTGTATTACAGCAAATTTGAAGAAGCCTCTGACAAAAGATAATCCGGTTTTCTAAAACAGTATCATGAACAGGATAAGACTCATGGTTTAATATGTCAAATTTTATTGACAGAGGTTCACAAACACCAAATAAAGATTTGCTGAATGCCACAATGAGTGAATATGTTGGAGATTTATATATTAATGTCTTCTAAATCAGCAGTTTACATACAAAATGATTACTATCTCTTTTAACAAGGGAAAGCCCAGATGATGATGCTTTGGAAACTAATGACAGGGCAACTGACACATTTAAGTTAATTGGAGGAACACCTGTGGATGCTTTTCAAGGGAACACCTCAGACACACTATCTTGTTGGAAATTATGGAAATCTCAAGAAATCAGCAAAGAACCCAGAACAAAAGCCAAAGACTTTGCCATGTTGCTGTGGCATGGGCTGAAAGGTCACTCAGTTATTTTAAAAGAAATACAAAACAGCCAGATTGGAGTTTCCAAACGCACACAAGGAACTGGTTCACTGCATAAACCAGATGGCAACCCAAGAAAAATACATTATGAGGAAATATTGCTGCAATATCATAAGACATCAGCCTGGAAATTAAAACTCAGAAGTGAATGGATATTCCAAATGGACAATGACTCTTAGCAACTAGGCAAAGTGGTTACAAAGTGGCTTAAGTCAACTTTGTGGCAATGCTAGCAAATATTGAGGAAATGTAAAGTTCTGATTTTGAAAAATTTATCAGCTGATTCTCTGATTATTGTAACATTTAGCAAATAGAAATAATCTTGGTTATTCTAACTGACCTTAAAATAGGTTTGTTATTTAGAAAGTGAGGGGGAAAAATGAGTATGTGTTTTTATCCAACAACAGCAAGAACACCGCAAAGAACTACCCTTCAAATTTTTTTTCCTATTGACAAGACTGCCCCCAAGTGGAAATAACATGCAAACGCGTGCGTGAGTGGCACCAAGCGCATAAAGCACGTGCCTTTTAGCCAGTGGTCTCAAACTCCAGCCCTCAAGGGCCAGGGTCCTGCAGCTTTTAGACGTGTGCCTTTATGTTTTGCAGTCTTGAATTAAATGGTTAAACTGCCTCTCTAGCAGGCAGTCGAGCACTACAGAGCTCTGCTAATGAGCAAACATTGGAACCAGGTGTGCTGAAGCAGAGAGGCATCCAAAAAGACACTGGCCCTTTAAGTCATAGGTATCCAGCTCCTGGCAGTTTGTGTCTCTGCTCTAACACAACTGATTCAAATGGCCCAACTATCCTCTCCCAGCAGAAATCTGCTAATGATCCAGGGAAAGAATATAAACATGCAGGATACCAACCCTTGAGGACAGACTTTATTATGCGCTACACCTGTGTTGGTCTGAGTAAAATCCAAACATAAATATTTGCAATGCGACATAACTTTAACGTTCAAGGGTTTTGAGTAGTTTTGCATGAGAAAGTAAGATTATCCAGTATATTAACTGCATCTGGTGACTGAATGTCAAAGATCTGTACTTTGAACCATTTTTATGCTCAAACATTTGAATCTAGTGTAGTAGTAGTTGGTAAACTCATTCTAACTTTGAGGAAAAACACTGAAAACTACATTGTGAACTACAGACTTTACTCAAAATGAATAAATCATACATTTTTGTAGCAGGTAAAAAAAAAAAAAAAAAAAACCTATGAGACATGGATGCAAAAATGGTTACGGAGAACATGAAAATAAAAAACACCAAAACAGTGTGAATTCAGGCACTTAAAGGATCCTTACTTTATTTTCTGTGGTAATACAAAAAAAGCATACAGAATTATAGAGAATAGCAGAGTAGATCCCTTTCATTGAATTCCATTAGATCATACACGTAAAATGACTAATAATTACATACAAGCCTGTTCTCTGTAGCTACATCCGTCAAGTACCCCGGCCCCTCCACCAGTAGCATGCATGGTCTCTTTGCTGTAAACGCTTTGGAACAGTTATTCATACCCCTTGGTATGTTGCATGTAGAAATTAAAACCAAACAGGAAGGGGAAAAAAAATGTATACAATCAAACGAAAAGCAATTTCACATTACACAAAGATTACATTAACTAGAATTGAATTATATTTATGATCACATTTTTATTTGTGAAAATAAGTTTGAACTGACTTGCTCTGAATCATGTTTTTGGTGTTAAGTTTTTGTTCCAACGGACTACATGTTCTATTCTTCTGGATTCATTTGGGCCCCACATAACTCTTGCGTCTTCTAAAGTACAAAACAACATCCCCATGTTTTTTATTTATTTGTTTTTTTTTTAAACAAAATCTGTATGATTTATGACTAGATATATAAAATAAAACTTACAGATTCATCAACTGCAAGATGGAACCTTTTTAAGGGACGCCTCATCCAAACTACGCGTTTCATCTTCTTAGATTTTTACTGATAATTTCCATTCTTTCGTAGAAGGAAAACAGTTCACACTGAAATTTGTGGATCAGCAAAGTGGGAAACCAGGCCTGTTACTTTCATAAGGCAGATAACAAAAACTCCACTTGAACAAGACTCTTCAATCATTATGGGTGTAAAACCAGTTGCATTCAGTGAAGAGGTGCATTTAATCATTAAAAACAAAAATAAGGGGGAATTGACACCAACATGGACCAAACTGAAACAAACCTGTCTAGTAGAAATATCCTCAGCCTATTTCAGTAAGCAGCCTCGTAGCTCTTACCCTCAGAGATCCCAATCTGAAATTAGTTTCTGGAAGCACCTTTAGTTTTAATTCACACTCAGAAAGCAGAAGCTGTTATTGATCAGAAGCAGTCTACATAGGGAGCTTTTAATTAATTTTTTTTTTCTGTCAGAGTTGCTAAAGTTCATAATTTTTAATGTTACTCCACTCTGTAAAATACCTATAAATACAATCCAACCTACATGGGGTAAAGACTGAATAAAACAGGTAATAAATGAAAGGCTACTCCAGGCATCAGCTAGCTACATAAAACAACAATGGTGAGACTTGCCATGTACTATAGACACAGAATGGACCCTTGCAAAAAAAAAAAAAAAAAAGCAAAAGTTTTCTTTTTTTTCGTACTTAAATACACTCGAGGTGAAATTCTTCATGTAAGTCACTAAAGGGTCAGATAACTTGGGTGTTTTTATCCTTCCTTTCTTCCCCAGGATGCGATGAGAAAGAAGGGAGGCATGAGGACAAAATAACGAGAAAATCTGTGAAACATTCAGGTAGTCTGTTCTAACAGTAACGATAACAGCAATTTCTCCCCAACACGTTGGGGAATGAACTGTTGGAGAGAGCGTAGCGCAGCGCGGGAGGGGGGGGGATGGGGCCTCCGTGAGTGCAAAGAGCATCTATAGCCATGTAATTTTCCGTCTTGTAATTCGTGACTTAGCATGAGGGAGCGTACAGAGACTAGTTTGCAAACCGTGGCCAGACCTTGAAGCAATGCAGGTGACGTTTTTTCTTTTCTTTGATGCGACGCTTGACCCTGGTCAGTTTCTTCATATTCACCATGACAACTGCCACCTGCTCTGCTCTCTGGTGCCATCCTGTGCAAGCAGAGGCTCGTCCGCTTGTAGTGTTGATGTTTTGAAATAGATCCATAGTCCGCGGTGGCAGATCACTTACCTCACTCGTGTGAAAGCAGCCCGTCGTCGTTTTCCACCCAGACATCATTCCTTCCAATCAACAGTTACTTGGTGAAGCCCACCACCACTCAGACTGCACTTTGTTAATATGGACTACCACCAAAAAAAAAAAAATGTCATCCAGAATAGATGTATAAACAGGCTCCTCAACCAGAATAGATTGTCTCATTTAAGTGAAGTCTGTCTTATTAAGTCCTTCAACCAATTAAATAACCCAGACCACAGCCAGATCGTTTCAGTCTCAACCAGTCAGGCATTTTCATTTAGTAAATGCAGCGACCACAGCCCACATGAGTTCATTGGCATTGGGCTTTGAGCTCTCCTTCTCGGGCTCCAGCTCCAGCAGGGTGTGGACCCGCTTCATGCCCAGGTCGTACTGGTCGTCCTGGAGGGGGGCGAAGGCGTTCTCTAGGACGTCGGACGAGTGAGCCAGGAGAATCAGGGAGAGCACCCGCTTGTCCATGCGATGAGGATCGTTGACCCACTTCTCCAAAACGGAATCCTGGACTTTCTTGACAAGGCGCTGCGGTGGATAAAAGGAAAGCGTTACTTCCACTTCAAGTGCCAAATGAGAAAACAGAAATCCCTTTTACAGATGACAGTTATACTTTTAACCAATCACTAAAAGTAAAGGGGAACCCACAGCATTTCCAGCGTTCACCAAATCTGTAACACTCGCTTAAGAGAGTTGAGTGGTCGGTACAAAGGAAGTTTCACAAAGCTCTTCCTTTAGTTTGCAACTCTAAAGCATCATCAGGTTCATCATGCTCTGAAACATACTGCACTGTGAGGGTAAATATAAGGTAACTTAATTAACTGAGGCTTTCTGTTTGCAGCTGTATGGGTTCCCTCAGAAAAATGAGTCTTTTCACACCTCATTTAGACTCTTAAAGAGTTGTAGAAAAACAATTATCACCTCAATAAAGCTGTTAACTACATATAGTAGAAGCTTAGGCGTGATTTTATGCCACTTAGTAGTTTAAATCCTTCAGATTAATATGAAATAAATCATGAACCCGTTTTGTGTTATAACATGAGCCGGCTAACAAACTTCTCTACAAATCTGAAGTTTAGAAAATGTACATTTCAAAAGTTAAAACAATCTACAATTGCTGTATTATTAAAATTTGTTTTTAAATTTACATTTATTTAAAAAAAAAAGGTTATTAAATATTATCATTATTCTTAAACAATACAAAAATCTTTATCGACATTACAGCCGCGTTTTGTATTAACTGAGACGTTTTTGCGCATTTCCACTGCTATTTGGATTATTTATCTTTGGTATTTATACAATTTCACAGTTTAAAGGTCTTGAAATATAAGACCCGAAAGTTCAGCTGCCTGAAAGGACACTGCAATACCACACCACATCTCCATCAAGTAGGATGCTGCTAATTTTGTCTTTCAGGTAGCAAAAACCACCAACAGTCACAGGAATTTAAAACATCCCACCAAACACTCTTACTAAAGTAATGCTGTTTTGAAACCACAGTTGGCTGGCCTCCGGCGTATATAGTCCAGTTAAAACACAAAAACAGATGAAAAATATGGAGTAGATATTTAAACCGTTTAAAATCTGATTGATTTTAGTGGCAGTAGAAATAATAGTCGTTCTTCCGTTTAAAGAATCAGCAATTAGAGCATCTGCACTTGGTGGGCAAATCTTGTCATCTCAAAAAGCCCAAAATTTAAAGGACAACGAAAGTGGGACGCTTTGTGCAAGACTCATCCCGCTGGGCATTTTAGGCTAATAAATATCAATTGGATAAAGGTCTCAATGATGGATGAGCCCAACATTTACTCACCATTAATCAAAAGTTCTCCATTCGGTTCTTATGACTCAATTACAATCAATCCGCCTGACCACATAAGTGTTTCAACCTCATTTTTTCCTCCTGGGATATTTATTCAACTAGGAAGATTTATTGAACAAGTTGGTCTTCTTACAGTTCAAACTGTCAGTTTAATACAGATCCACATCAGTGATGTAGAGAGCGAACATCCAACTCAGCATAAGCTGGAAATATTGCTTCTTGGTGCAATCCTCAGATTTCTGCCAGTGAGCACAATTTATTAGACTAATAAGGCTTGTTGGCTGAATCCCATCTTTCACAAAAAAAAAAAAAATAAAAAAATAAAGTTACAGCTTATTTTTCTATCTAATTAAGAAATATTAGCTGAGCCAAGTAGTTTCGAAGCATCATCAAGTCTACTAAAATAAAAGTCTCATTTAAATGGAGATAAAGGTTTTGTAAAACTCACAATGAATCATGTTGTGACGTGCTGAATCTTTAAAATGGTGAGAGGATGACGTGTGTGTGACTCATGTTACACACACGTCATAGTTTGTTGGTACAATAATGTAAGTTAACTTATATTACCAAAGAAATTAATCACACAACACGTGAAGAGCTTCACGGACATCCTCATTTTGGAGGCCAGAGTATGATCAATCTGCAGATGCAATTATAAACCAATAAAATTAAAAAATAAATATACACATGGCAATGTTTGCTTAAAATAAAGTAAAATGCAATAACTTCACCAATAGCTGGGTCCCAGTACTTATTGTGGAAACGATGTTTTCAAAGCAAATATTTTTAGCTAAAAGAATGCATCATTTAGAGAAAAAGGACAACAAATACGGGTCATAGCCTTGGACACTTATACATCCTTTCATTTCTACTCCATTCCCTCTTGCATGCTACTCTGCAAGCTGATGAAATGCTGATCTAAAATCTAAAACTTCAGAAACAGAAGTGCATCATCTAGAACTATTGAGATTGCAACACTTAAACTTTGCTGAAACTTAAAATGCAAGTTGTGGGATAAAAGGAAGATTTTATCTTGGTGGCTCTGATAAAGAAATGCACACGCTTGCCCCTGTAAACCAAAAAGTAAACAATGCAATGCTGCAGAACATTCAGCCTGAATCCCCAACTATTTCCCCCCTTTAACATTGAAAATATTCACTTTTATATGAATATATTTTTAGTAAAGAAATCCAGCTGGCATTTACGTAACAGCTAAATTTATACCAACATCAAATTATTCACAGATGTACTTTGTGAAGAAGCTATGAATGGTTTTGTGTGGTGCAAAACTCGCAAAACACACAAGCTAAAGACAAATTACACACAACTTTATCAAGATCTAATGTAACTGAAGCTGTGCTAGCAGAGGTCAAACCTGTTGAAAATTAAACTGAGGGTGTGACTACACTTCACACAATAGCAGTCAGTCATAGCAGAGAGCTGAAAAATGCTTTTACCTTTTATGATACATATCGACTCGTTAATCCTTACTCAGCTCAACAACATATCTCACGATGAATGGACGGGATGAACACTGCCTCATCATACCTGCTTGATGGTGCTGTTGGTTAGCGGATGTGTGGTCATGTCAAAAAGCAGGAAGTTCTGTTTCTCTGTGGTGAGGACCCCCTTCTCCACCAGGTTTTTAGCCAGACGCTCTCTGACGTTTCGAAGCTGATAATGGAGCTTCAGGGGATTCCAGGTCTCTCCTACAGGTCACCACAAAAATGTAGCTTTAAATAACCAGAGTTTCTGCATGTTTCCGTAAGCTAACTCCGCTTGGGTATGTCGCCCTAAGGCAACAGACAATATCACAATACCGAGAAGGTAGAAACCACACTTCCATGTCAGCATAGTGAAGATATACGATTAATAGTTGTGACGATGGTGAGCTGTTAGGATAGTAGTAGTTGGATTGAGAGTGTTAACGTTAATCTACCCTCCATTTCCTAAAAGAGATACAGAATATAGCGACAGTTATTGTGTAAATGGAGGAAAATATACAGAAATAATGAGCAAATAGATTATTTTGCAGCAAACAAAACCAAATTTATCTTCAAAAGACTGAAACAAAAAATCAGAAAGGATGATTTAATCCATTTAATAAAGTAATTTAGTGGGCTGTCCTAATTCTTACAAATTCAGGCAACATTCATGGAAAAAACAAACAAACATTAATATACATTGCTGTACAATGCTTTTACATTTAAAATGGTAGGTGCAGCACTCTTGTAGCGTTTGAATGTTTTACACTTTTGCGAAACATATTTGAAAAATGCACTTTTTCAAACTGGTTATTTAGATAATCCTAAGGCAAAGACTGAAGAATTTCTTCTCCAACATGGCGTATAAATTCCCTTTAAAATTTATGAATCACATTAAGATTAAAGATAACTTAGGTGACTTAATAACTCAAGTTAAATATACTTTTGCTCAGTTATGGTTTTCAACGCCGACAGGAGTGCCCATTGCCTTCACGCTTCGTTACTTAACTTACGGCTTGTGGTAAGCTTCACAGCACGGGCGATTGACAAATTGGTCATTTTGTTTTTTAGTTCCCTAAAAAGAAGAGTTTTGGCACGGTGCAAAATAGTCTGAAAACATCTGCAGGAACTACAGCACAATGATTCCAATTAAAGGAAGAAGTAAAACGTACACAATCTTGCATCCTTAAATTAATAATGAGATACATTTGAAGGTAACTAATGTGGCATCGACTTGGTGGGATTTTGACCTGCTTAAAAATTTAGACGGTTGAATGTAAGTAACCTTGAATAACAAGGGCCAAATGGGAAAACTACTTCGTAGTGAAATAGAGCAAATGAGCACAAGATATGCAAATAAAGGCACATAATCCACTTGGGCAGTTTCATGATGACTGCAAGCTTTGTTTTACAAAGTCAGTAGTGCTTATCTCACCACTGAGGAGTTCTATCCAGCTCTGCACAGTCTCTGGAGGCTGAGTGTCTTTAATATGCTTCAAGGCCTCATCCAGCAACACATCTCCTGTTGGAGCATCAGACTTGCAGATAACCTTGCAAAAACAAAAACGAGAATTGTCAGTGGCAGTCAAGTTAACTTTGAACTGGATTCACATCTTATACAAACAGGAATTACAAGAGAGGCAAGAAGTGCCTTTGTTGGAAAGATAACAAAAATGCTTCCTCTGACCTCTGAAGCATAATTATCTTTAATAACAAACAAACTCTACGGTATGCCATGTAAAGAATTTCGATGACAAATACCCACCTTTCTTGCCAGGAGGCTTTTCCTCCGCACACCGCAGGCCTCCAGCTGTATCCTTCCTCGGAGGGCCAGTTCTACCAGCATACAGCCGCGGAGGCCGGAAGAAATACAGTCGTTCCAAAACGACGTGTAGCCCTGAGCGGAGAAGAAGAAGAAGAAAAAAACGCTTGCTTAGCTGACGTGTTGAGCCAGCCTTGGTACAACACTTCCAGGTTTCAAAGGACCTCACACCTGGAGAACTACCCAGGTAACGCAAGCCGCGGAAGCTACGTATCTTGGTAAACAAGTAGCATAACTGCTTTGATCCGGGAAGTTATGAACCGGATGCTTCGGTACCGCACCGGGCCGCCGTATTCAGATAATACTGTTAATATTAAGCACCTTGAGAGAACTGACACGTTGCACGTCGGTAAACAGAAGCTACTTGACACACGTTAGCTAACAGGATTTACACCGTTACACTTTAAAGTCAGACACTTCAAGCGGAGCATAAACAAATCCCGGAAACATTAGCTACCGAGTGGATAAACTCAGTGTTCTGTGTTGACATTTAGCCGATGACGCAACGTAAACACTTTTAATAAATTAACGGATTATAAACAGTCCGCACCTCTCGGTCCTTGAGGCCCAGTAGCAGGACTTCCTCCATTAACGTCAGCCTGGTTTCCTTAGAGTCCCCCTTGTCGTCCTCCTCTTCTTCACCTCGGCGAGCCTCGTCTTCCTCTCCACCGGAATCTTTCTCCTTCTCGGCGGCAGCGGCGCTGCGAATGGCCTCGGTCCTCCGTTGGACGAGGCCCGAGGTTCTCTGCGTGAGAGAAGTCATAGCTGAGGCTGCGAAGCGGTCGGATTCAAAGACAGGCGCCTACCTCGGTGAGATAGGGAGCCGTGCAGCATCAAAACCGAATTGTGGAAGTGGGAAAAAAGGAGGTGAAAAAAGGAGGTGAAAGACAGGTCGGCCAAGAAGAGTCAGCGGCCGTTGACGTTAAGCTGGGCTCGGTGTTCTAGCGAAGTCTCTGCCCACTTCCTGATCCAACATGGTGGCGGTGATTCTGTGACGTCGAATGAGGTCTGAGCAGGACAGTGAACGCTTCTCTCGTGTTGCCTTCAATGTTGTGGGAAAATCCTACACAACAGGTTAATAGTAATTCAGACGAGTGATTTATCAAATACATTTTTTTAATGTGAAAGTTTCAGTTCAACTGTATTAAATACATTAAAAATATTGATGAAAACACATTCATTAAAACTGAAATTCTTTATGTTAATTTTGTGAATATCAATATGAACAAAGGCTGTGAATATCGATATGAACATAGGATCTGAATATAACCCAAATGAACGTATGGGCTGTGAATATTAAAAATATGTATAAAACTGTAAATATTGTTATGGAGGTAATTTGGGAATAATATCAATATATTCTTTGAATACCACCAATATTAACGTATTCTGTAAATATTATCTATAAGATCATAGACTTTGAATATTATTAATATGAACATAGGCTGTGAATGTAATAAATATGAATGAACGCAGTGACTATTATTGAAATCAATTTAGGCTGTGACTTACTGATATGAACAAAGGCTATTAATATTAACAGGCTGTGAATATTGTTGATAAGACTGAAAGAGTTGAATTTTAATGATATGAACAAAGGCTGTGAATTTCATTAATATGAATATAGGCTATCAATATTATCAATATGAATTTAGGGTATAAACATCCATATGAATGTTGGCTATGAATATCAATATGAACGAAGGTTGTGAATGTTATCAATATGAATGAAGGCTATAAATATTATTAATAAGAATGAAGGCTGTGAATGAATCTTTAATCTCAGTTATTTTTGGCATACAACAGAAACAGACAAGACAACTGGGTCAGCGAGGAGGAAGATTTAACATGAACAGCGTAAAATCAAAGATGGTCTCCAAGTTCAACTTTGTTCATATTTCAAATATATTTTTTGAAGTTTTCTTACTTTTTTTCGTCAACTTGATATTCATTTTCCTCTTTCTACAGCTGTTGAAGGTAGAGATTCACATACTGATCAGCTGGTTAATATTAGAAACATCAGAGAGATTAGAAACATCAATTTTCTAAATTGATATTTTCTTATTTAGTCAGTTTTACTGTCTCATTTTCATCATTGTGACTGGTAATGCTGGTATAGAGGCCTCAGACATCTGCATAAACTATGAATTATTTAGCTTCATCTTCTGCCAGGCTATGTGAATCAAATGCAGAAATTCATTTTAGTGTGTCATTTTGGGTTACAAAACATTTGGCAGCAAGAAAAAAAACATATTTAATGTGATACTTTGTGTCCAGAGAGGGGTTGCAGACAGCTTTGCACATGCATGATTCAATGCATATGCAGATCCACTCAGAGTGGCGTGGGTTGAATTTGCTGCAGGACAGGATGCTTTCAGTGGGAGGGGCTCACAGCAGCACTGCTCGCTGTAAGTGCTGCATTATTGGTACTTTCCTATTTTGTCACCAGTCTCTAATAACACAGAAAAAAGTTGTTAAATTTGTCAATAGTTGCTTTTTTGAAATAAATAAATTAATTAATTAATTAATTAAAAGTCCTAGAGGGGTTTGAAAAGTTGCTAAGTACATCCAACAGTGCTCAGTATTCATTTTATTCAGGTGTTTTGGAGCAGAGTCACATCTGAATGTTTTGAGACATTTGGAGTTACAGACCCCAGAGTTAAAATGACATCCGCTGACACTTAAATTTAACATACACAACACATATGTTAATCACATACTTCAGTCATTTGCACGTTTGTCCAACTTTGACTTAATGCACACCAAAAAAATTGCTAAAGCTGAGGTTTCTCTGGCTATTTTTCAATGACAACTGTGATTGTCACGTACTGAGATAACAAAACAGTCACACTGTTGACAGTAAGTCCAAACATGCTTTTTGCTTTACTCATTTTATGTTCCACAAATTTAGAAGAATGGAAATCGAATAATTTCTTAGTAATAACCTTCATCATTAATCTTTAATTACAGACATTAACTATTTTCTTTAAGTGCATTAGGCATGCAGGTTTTGCTTTAAATGAATAGGAACAGGGATTGTGTGTAACGTCGGCTACAGACACAAGATGGCAGACTTTGACTGGAACTAAAGACTAGCCTTGTTGCTCCTCATCTACATCTTCTAACATTTACTCTCAAGATCTTGTTTTTAATGAATATTAATTATACTCATCTTAGTTTTAAAGCTAAGCTGGATGGAAAAGATAGAACTTTATGCTGTTTTATTCTAACCAGCAACAGCAGATCCAGAAAATGAGGATTTATTTTGCACTGACACTGCTGTTCACACCTCAGTTGAAATTAAGTCATTGCACTGACTCTGCGAGGTTTTGATCACTATGTAAAATAAAACACACACTTTAAAATTGAATGCTAGAATTAACATAAATAGCATGGCGGGCTTACTCGTCATTCACATAAATATACATATAAAAAAAAATAAAGGTTAAAAACCAAAATGAATGGTTGTGTTGTAATAATGAAGCTAGGGGCTTTATCATTACTAGCTAATGAGAGAACCTGGCATGAGGCAAACCACGCTGATGCCGAATGCTTTAGGTTTTTGACACCAAAAAGGCTTGGCACAGTGGGCAAATACATGTGATGTTTTCTCAGTTGAGTGCCCAGTTTCCAAACTGAGAATAATTCACCACAAAAAAAAAGAAGAGAAAAAATTAAAAGAATTTCCTAATAATTTGTATCTGCTTAGAATTCCAGCTACATATAGTCTAAACTTTCAGCCATATATACATCAAGATTTTGGATACATCTACCTGAAATCTTTAGATATTAATACTTTATAGTTATACCTTTAGCCATTATATCTAAAATATTAGCTATTTATACCAAAGCTTTTTATGTCTTACCTTGAAAAAAACGATCCAGAGTTGCAGCTAAAAATCCAACTCTGGAATATTAGTTTTACATACTGAAATTCTTGTGTTATGATGCTTACATAATGTAGACCGTTAACGACATGTTCCCTGATATGTTGAAGTCACTTCAGGAGGCCCAGCCACCCACCACATGTACCCTCCAAAAGAAAAAATAAAAAATCCATGGTTTCTCATATAACCTGACAAAAAGCCCAATGTTAGAACCCAGTCTCTGTCAGTGGAGTTTTGTGGGAATTTTAAATTGAGGCAATGTGTGTGTTCACTATAACAAAACCACTAATGGACTTTCTATCGGCCCCATTTCTGCGGTTTTTCAATGCAGTCTCAATATTTCACAAGCAGCAATAAATCTGTGCACTGTTAAACACAAGGCTGAATATAAAACTTCTTAAACAGTACCCCAAAAAGTGTTCCTTAATTTATGCGTCCTCAGCCTTGCTAATGAGGGGCGAAAGCTTCTCTGGCTCTAGCAAATTTTAAATGTGCCGCTTACATTACATTGAATGATGTATACTCGTCATTATTTGACTTTCAGTAACTTTAAAATGCATTCATACACGTAAATCCTTTCACATTTTATCATGTTGCCATATTCTTGGAAGTGTGGAGTGCATTGTTTAACCCCCCCTTTCTCTGATATCCATAAAAAATCTAGTGCAACAAATTGCCTCTGAAAATCACACAAGAGGCCTTCAGTTGTTCTCTGAGGGTCTCAGTGGTTTGTTACAGAGCATTAGCAAACAAACAGTATTATGAAGACATCAAGGAGCACATCAAAAAGGTCGGGGATAAAGCTAGGAGAAGTTTAAAACAAGCTCTGCTAATGAAACATCTTAAGCTTTGAACAGCTCACAGAACACTATTCAATTCATTATCTAAAAATGAAAAATGGAAAAAAGTGAACAGATATGCAAGTATTTAGAAAGAAAGCAATTTTAAGTTCTGTTTGCTCTTTGCTACAGGCCATGTAGGGAACGCAAAAAAAAAAACTCAGGAGGAAATCCTCCCACCTAAATGAAACCTTTTGGTAAATATAAAACAATGTGAAACATGGTGCTGGCAGCATTATGATGTGGGGGGAGCCTTCATTTCAGCAGAGAACGGGACCTTGGATAGAGTTGATGAGGAGATGGAGGAGAGGTGAATTGGAGCAAAGGCTTACATTCAAGTAGGGACCCTAAACATAATGTTGGAGCAAGAATTGAATGGTTTAGATCAAGTGATAATAATCTGACAATAAGACCCAGTCAGAGCTCAGACCAAAATCTCACCGACAATCTATTGTAAAACTTGAAAATCGATTATCACAGTTGGTCTCTCCATCCAGTCTGACCCAGCTTGAGCTATTTTCTACAGAGGATTGGCCAAACATTTAAATTGCAGGAAGAGCTGGTCGGGACTTACCCAAAAAAGACTTGCAGCTGCAAATGCAAGCCATACTTTTTATTAGATTTTTTTTTTTTTTTTATTTGAAAAACTTTTGAAAACTATGTATGCTTCCCGCTTGTTCTGTTTTATAAAAATTGAGTTGAAGTTTGGGGTCGTAAAATGACACAATAGAAAAATGCCAAAGGAGTATGAAGATTTTTTTCAAGGCACCATATATCCTTGAAGACAGCTATAATCCGTCAGGAACCTGCAATGTAACAAACTGCCTGCTTTTATGACATGAAAGAGTGGCTCTAAAATTCCTTAGAGAGATGATTCCTCCAGACATTAGGAAATATGCTTTGTGTAAATAATAATCTCCTCTACCGTCACAGCCAAGACAGTTGTTCAGCGCTGACCATCTATGTAGAATAGTTGCACGCTGTCCAAAATTGAGAAGAAGCACCAGTGTTCTAGGATTAGGTCTGGGGGAAAAAAAAAAAGTCTCATGGAAGGAAGAGGCTTTAAAAAGTTGTAAATATGAGATAAATTCATTGTAATCTAAAGTAAGCTTGTTGATTACACAGAACTGCTTTTTAAATTTAATTTTTTTGGCGATGATAACATGTAAGACGTGAATTAGAATTTGAAATGCGCAGAGTTAGTTTCAAACAGGACGTGAATGTTTCCTGACGCATCAGCCAATCATCTGCTGCCCCACTGACACTGTTAATAAA